GGGGAAAGCTTAATATACTAGTTGCCCTATTACATACATCACGACCAAATAGCAGCGATTGGTTAAATAAAAGAAGTACCCGCTTACCGTCCGGCAAAAGAATTTTAATGCTGCGAGGTCAGACGGTTTCCATGAAGTGAAACCGGCAGAAGAATCAGGCTACATTTTTGCTCCACTTCTGTATATAAACAGAGCCATGCGTTCAAGTGTACCCGTCACTGCATTTACACTTCCAAACGTGTCAAATGTCAAGGCTGCATTCTCCTAAACAACCACCAGAAGGCGCTAAACGTCAGGTCATGGATGAAATAGAGCAACAAATAAACAAACATGGAGGCACCAGCAGCAGTTTTTAGATCGCATCTGAGGGAATAGAGCCAAGAAAAATGAGATGAAAGAGAAATTTGTTTGATTTTCAGCTGGTTCGAGTCAAAAGTTTAGCGCCCACTATCGAGCTGTGTTCACTTCTGCCCCCGGTGGTCAGCCCATGTACTGCTCCATCACCAAGATTTCACAAATTCTGACAAGTATCTGTTTCTGTCTGTATCTGTTTGAGTCTAGAACTTGTACGAAATGTGGTTGCGGACGTGGTTTAGGTGTTTAGTCCCTTTTTACACTTGCGTATTTATGGAGAAAGTCAAGTTACAGGTCAGATCTGTGGAGAGGCGACCCCACTTGCACTATGAATTAAAAATAAAACACTTGCAACTGGGTACATGCCATACTAACATGTAACATTCCAGGTAAAGCAACAACATCTCCGTGGAATCAGTCGAAAGCAACATGGGTGAACCTTTAACCATTTATGTACTTTTTGACTGATTTTTAATTGTTTTTATCGTATTTATACTCATTTCAACACTTTATAATTGCATTCATAATATCATTTCATTACCGTGTACTTTAGTATAAAAATATAACTGAATTGTCTAACAAAATGTGTCTAAATTGCAAATAAAATTACTACTGAACTCAAAATGTATATTCTAAATTGAAGTTTTAACTCATGTAGATTTTTCTTTTTGCATTGTAGACAGGATACATTTGTACAGCGGGTGCTTTCATAGAAAATAGTAGTTGCACAGTAAGAAGTAGTAATCGAATATTTACAATGTATTAGCAAAAGAACAACCATCAAAACTACAACGCACTTTTGGTTTTTGGAAATCACAACCTCCCAACATCAGGGTATTTTAGAATCAAATTAAAGTGCATATGAAAAGTTAATATGAGTGCTTTTTACTAAAACATACTTAACTCATTATATTTAAGATTTCGCAAACAATCCTGCCGATCATAACATTAAATGCGTCTTACTTCAGCCTCCCTCATACTTTCTGTCACAGTTATAACCACAGATCCAAACTTAGAACCATATTAGACCACAGTGGGGCGACCAGATGTCCCTTTTTAACCGGGACAGTCCCACTTTTGAGCCCTGTGTCCCCTGTCCCAGCAGATTTTTACAAAACCAGTGATTTGTCCCAGTTTTATACAAGAAATGAAAAGTAAGGTGTCCCTATTTTTGACCAATTTCATCTAAACCAGGACTAAAACACAAAGACTGTCACTATTTTTGACTAATCTGATCCCCGCCAACAATAAAGAGGAGCATAAACTGTCATTTGTTTTGCCAAAATACAGAAAACAGCGCTTGCGAATGACCATAAAGCAAAAAAACGCAGCGACAGAAGTTCCTCAGATTATGACTGGCACGAGAATACACAATCTTACACGCCCTTTTCACAAATTTATTTATGCCAACTATCCCAACCCGGGTGTGTCCCAGTTTAGAATTTTGGAACTCTGGTCACCCTAAACTACAGTCTCTTTTCAATGAGGTGTGTCGTGACAAAAAAGGAAAAAAACATTGTTAACACATTTCCATACTTTTCAGACTATAAGGCGCAAAAACTGCTTTAATTTTACTCCTTAAATTTTCTCAAAAGTCGACAGTGCGCCTTATGTATTAATTCTGGTTGTGCTTACTGACCTTGAACTGATTTTATGTGGTGCACGGCGCTCAAAATCTGTCAAAATGTTTTAGTAGCTACGAAGCTGCGCCGCTTGATGGATTGTCAGAGTATTACAGCAGCTGTAGTCAGGAGCCACGCGGAGTAAGAGCGAGTGAGCCGTTTTATCAGTGCTTATAGTTTATGCAAATGAGCCGTGTGGTTTTAAGTTTTGTTTCTGTAAAACGTAAACAAATGTGCTCAAAGCTGCATTAAACACATTATTACTCAGTCTATATTTGAGTCCTCCTCATAAGAAATAAAAAAAAACTTAAATTATCTAACCACATTCACATTCATAATACACATTAACCAAGACAGGGAGGTAACGCCGGGCGAATTACGCCACGATTTGTCAATGGATCGTGGACGCCTGGACTAAGGGATCAGTCTCAAGTGTCGTCCGTTTGTTTCGCTTAATGCTCCTTATAATCCAGTGCGCCTTATGTATGAAAATAGACGAGAGAATTCGATATTATTGATACTGCGCTTTATAATCCAGTGCACTTTATAGTCCGAAAAATACGGCAATTGTTTTCAATTATCTGACCCGGACGTCACATCACACTTAAACGTTGGTGCGCCGCGTAACATTTCTGGTCAAGGGTCCGCCGACTACTTGTCTCCATGGAGATGTTATTGCTTTCCCTATGACATTAAACATTTCCATCGAGGATTTATTCATTACGGCTGTTTCTGTTGCTCAAAAACACAATCATTTCTTCTGTGAACAGGGGCGACTCTCCACAGATCTGAACTGTAATGTAGCGTAGTGCTGTAACCTGCTTGACTTCCGTTTGATAGAGAGGTTTAATCTACACTGCGGAACATTCTAGACAAAGCAATAACATTTCCATGGAGATAAGCAGGTGGTGGACCCTCCAACTCAATACGCAGTTTTAAAACTCTCCACTAATTCCCGTATTTGTGTACTTTTCTTCTCAACTTTTTCGACAAACGTCCTGAAAACCTGTCATATGCACTTTAAATCAAACGCATAAATGAACACATCTTGCAATTTCAAGATATTTTCAAATAAAGTCACAGTATTTTGCTTTTATATAGATTTGATAACATTTTGTATAGAACATTTTCGACTACGCTGATCGAGTCTTTACAATTTAAATAAATGTAAATATACTTATACTGTATTTTGGTCCTCTTAAATAAATACTACACTATGAATAAATAATACTTCTACATTTCTACACGTTTTTAATAATCATTCCTGAAAATAAAGGAGTACATAAAATAGTCAAGGCTCTTAATCCGCGTTCATAACTTATTCATACAAAGTTAATTATATTTTCTATTTCAGAATACATAGGCCTCTTCACAGGGGTTTTTATCCAGCTGCTTAAAAGAAGAAAGAAGTGTCTGGGGAGGGGGAGGTCTACGGGGACTTAAAGATGATTTGACTTATTTTAATTGTAGGCTAAATCATGAATAATTACTATATACTGTATTTTTAAAAATGTTTTAGCCATGTATTCTTACTTATCGATACAGATAGACAGTATTTTACAGGGTTCCCACTCTTTTTCACTGAATTTTCCAAAACCTAAAGTGAATTTTCCATGATTTTACGGCACCTACATGTGTAAAATTGAAATGTTAACCCTTTCCACTCACCTTATGGTTTGGTTTTATAGTTTTTAAACATTCAAAAATACTGTCATTGCGTTTATTGTCGTCTCTTTTAAACAAAAAGCGCACAGGTTCAGAAATAATCATAATATCCTAATGAGAACATAGAGACACTAAAGCCAAAACTTTCATTGAGTTTACAAAATTCCATGACTTTTCCAGGCCTAGAGAATGACGTTTTCAATTTCCAGGATTTCCATGACAGTGGGAACCCTGATTTCTGGAGTATTTTACAAAATTTTAAACCCAAAATGTTAAAATTTTACGCCATTTTCTGATCTGTGTTATAATGTTGTCTCCTCAAAAAACATGCTTGGAGTTGTGTTTTGTTTCATTCACACATGTTTAACGCACAAACCTGGCAAATTTAGGTTCTTTAGCTCTTCTCTCAAACCGAAAACACAGCGCTCCATTGCGTTTAAAGATGCATTGTGTAACTTTTCAAGTGTATGGTCCATTAAATGCTCTTCTAAAAAGGAAATGTCACTGATTTGTCTGGAATGTTTCACAGTACGGTATTAAAATTTTCTCTCTTCACTCGAATCATGTGGATAATTTCAGCTATAGAGTATCCAATCTCTACTAAACAAAAGGTAAAGGAGCCATTTCATGACATCACAAGGTGGAATGGGGCATTTTGAGCTTTGGAAATGTAGACAGACTGGTAACACTTTATAATAACTACACCTTATTTAGCCTTAATAAAGCATGAACAAAGACTTAATTAATAATGATTCACGCTTAGTAACTACTTAATTACTACCTGAATTAGCACTTAACTTGCACTTAATTCGCCTGTGCTGTAAATAGTTACTCATAAGTATTTCTTACTTAATTACTCATGAACTAACCATTCGTGTGTGCATTTGTAAATGAATATTTAAGTACAAATTTGAGCATTTATTAATGATTAGTAAGCCATGAAAGAATGATTTACTAGTAATGCATTATTGTTTCTGTGGAATTTGACCAACCTTAACAAACCGTTAATAAAGCATAATTAGTCTTCACTTTAGAAAAGCTCTCAAAAAGACTTACCTAAATTATCATTGCATTGCATTATTAGGAAATCATTCTCTCATAGCTTACTAATCATTAATAAATGCTCAAATTGGTACTTCAATATGCATTTGTAAACATGCAAATGGTTAGTTCATGAGTAATTAAGTAAGAAATACTTATGAGTAACTATTTACAGCACAGGCGAATTAAGTGCAAGGTAAGTTCTAATTCAGGTAGTAATTAAGTAGTTATTAAGCGTGAATCATTATTAATGAAGTCTTTGTTCATGCTTTATTAAGGGTAAATAAGGTGTAGTTATTATAAAGTGTTACCGACAGGGTAATAATCCAGGTTTTGTGAATGAAACAAAACAAAACTCTGGGTCTATTTTTGATAAAGTAACAGCATTCTAACATGTCTTAAAGCTCACAAGAGTCAATTTCGCGTAATATAGAACCTTTAAGAAATAACCTTATTTGCTAATACATTGTAAATATTCATCACAGACTTATTTCTAAAGCGTTACCAAAAGCGCATAGTCCAGTGTAGCTCAAGGCGACAAGCACAGAACTGTATTAGACCAACAGAAAGTGAGGAATCCACAACAGAGGGCAACTTTCTGAAAACGGAAAAGTCTCCTTCGCTCCGGCCTGCGTCAGTAAGGGCTGTATGAAACTCTGTACACGTCTGCCATGTCCAGTGCAGTCCAGGAGGGGGCGGCAGGGAGCTGGAGCCACAATGCACGTGTACAGTAAGCTCCAGGTCTCCAGTTCGAGTCCGAGGGGGGAAACGCGGTTGGTCAAAAGTTATCCAGAGTTCAAGTACTCCAAAGCCACTTCATAGCAGAACTTGTACTGGTCCTAAAAGAGAAGAAGAGAGAAAAATTAGACAAGAAATTATAAACAAGGTGGTATTTTTGTACCGCAAAGGAAGTTATTTGAGTATTTAAAGATCCTATATTACACAAAATTGACTCTTGTGAGCTTTAAGTCATGTTATAATGTTGTTACCGCATCAAAAACAGACCTGGACGCTATGACGTGGACTCGAGTCAGACTTGAGTCACTATTTTTAGGAATTGAGACTTGATAAAACTGACTAAAACTTGAGACTTGACTTGGACTTGAAGGTCAGTGACTTGGGACTTGACTTAGACTTGAGAAGCACTTTTAAATCTGAATTCTTCCTATTCTGACCGTAAAGATTCACACTAAGATCTTGTCAAAACATTTAAAAACGAAAATGAACTAAATTAATTTCTACAAGTCTCTATACACTCTATAAATAGTCAGATATAAGTACAATTTAGTTTAAAATTCATATAAATTGCAAAAATCTAAGCTATATTTTGTACTTTGGTTTACAGACTTGAAATGACTTGAAGCTCAAAGCAGACGGCTTGGACTTGACTTGGACTTATTGGCCAGTGACTCGAGGCCCGACTTGGACTTGCCTGTATTTGACATGGGACTTGACTCGGACTTGAGGTCAGAGACTTGAGACTTGCAAAACGACAACTTGGTCCCACCTCTGGCTCTGTTCCACCTTGTGATGTCATGAAGTGGTAGCTGCCAAGTTAACAGCTACAGGTATATTTGTGCTGAGGACTCACGAGAATCATTTGGATCATTTCAGCCCTAGAATTGACCATTTCTACTGAACTAAAGGTAAAAACTTTGGAAAAAACAATATCTAGCTAAATTAAAATGACTTAAATTAAGAACGTTTTACTTTAATTGAGTCGATTCAACTTGATAAGTAAAATTATTTACCAATGGAATAAGTGTGTTTTTCTTAATTCAAGAAAAAATAGATTTTGTTTCTTATTTTAAGTGCAAAAAGTTGTTGTTTTTCTTATTTTAAGTGTAGCAAGTAGGACTGTAACGAGATCCAAATCTTCACTATATACATCTCACGGCACGATATTTATTGCAATATTTTAAGGTTAACAAAAGCGTAAATATGCTACTTTTTTTTTTAATGCCTTGACAAGACTTTGGTTCTATCATCATCCGAAGAACTAAAACTTATTAACAGTATTTCTTCATGTAGTCTGCACTTAAACAGAGCAAAGCATTATGGTCTATGTAGTTCCCACTGTTTTTCGTGTATTGCTGCATAATAACAATGAATTCAAGCAAAGAGACTTGTAATTCGATATAATATGATGGCCCACGATATATCGACACGATATTGCGATAGTTCGGTTATTGTTAGCAAGATGTATTTTCATATTTTAAGTACAAATATTTTAAGTACTTGTTCCACTGGCAGATCATTTTACTCGTCAAGTGAAATTTACTCAAATCATGATAGAACTTTCTTAATTCAAGTCATCTTAACATGGCTATATTTTGTTTTTTTTTGCAGTGAACTACCTCTTCATGACATCACAAGGTGGAACTGAGTATTTTGAGCTTTGGAAAATAGAGAGATTAATAATAAAAGTTTACTCAGACATGTGTGAATGAAACAAAACACAACTCCAGGTCTGTTTTTTGACGACGTAACAACATTATAACATGTCTTAAAGTTGCACTATGTAACTTTTTATTTCACAGTTTGTCATTGCTCTGCCTGGAATGTTCCGCAGTGTGACATTAAACAGCTCTACTTTACATTTATTCAATTACAGGTGGTTTTATAGCTCAAAAATACCTAGAAAAAAGGCATTCTGACTATGAGCGGGGTCGCTTTTCCACAGATCTGACCTGTAAAATGGTCTGGTTTGTTCTCCGTGAAGACAGAAAGTTTTAAGAGTGAATTAAAAGACCTTAAAAAGCACATAGAAGTCGAGTATGCATAAATATATTAAAATAAAAGGCTTTATTTCCACTGCACAAAAGTAAAGTGTGAATTATGGGCAGTAGAACGACATTAGTCCGGTTTTAACAAGGACAAAGTGTTTCGTGTTTGGACGTCCTTCATTTAAGTTGGGCTCTTTTGGAGAAGTGTTTTTGCAGCAGATGATGTTTTCAAATCTTGGCACAGTATTTCGTTTGGCTCCGGCTCCAAATGTTCATTGATTTTGTGATAAAAACTAATGAAGACTTTTAAAAGGTATCACTACATCTTTGACGCCTTGTAAAGCTGTGAGGGTCAGGCGCGTCGAACAAATCACCCAGCGCACGTTAAATCAGCACACGTTCACAGATGAGGAGGAGAAAACCGTTCCAACTTTTCGGATGGAGGGTCTGTATGCGACGCTTCAGATCTGCGGAGAGGCGACGCTTCTTGCAATAATAATCCATGTTTTTCAAAGTGTTGTGGGGCTTGTGATATCGGCGTCAAGTGCTGATAATCCAAAATGTTACACGATATAATAGGAGATCGTAAGTGTGTGTACGGATACTTTGCATTGACATCATGCTGGAGGGGTCTACGTGTGTCTCTATGGCGGAATGTTCAGCAGTGACCATGGTGGCATAGTTGTTAAGTGTTAAGATAGTCTGAAAACTCAAGACAAAATAGATTTAAGCAACACATTTTCAGGTGAATTTAAAGTTATTGATTTTAATTTTTGTTTTTGTAATTTTTGTGTTGTTGTTTTGTATTTAATTTATATATATTTAATTTATTTTGTTGTATTTTTTGCTTACAGCCTGTTTTAATGATTATCTGGTAGAGTTTTTTTTTTTTTTTTCAGTGTCTTTTTTTTCCCCACAACTTTATTTAGCATAATTTTCAGTTTAGAACAAACACATTTTCAGAAGCCTGTGATCAATCTGAGCGTTCATGGTTCTGTTTAGGTGTTTCAAGAAAAAGGTGTGAGCGATTTACTGAAAAACTGTGACAGTGATGTTATGTGTAAGAGACTTCAAAATCAAAAATCTAAATACAAAACCAGCAAACTCTTCTTCAAAGTTCTTTATGGTCAGACTGATTGGACTAAAGTCTAACTCTAGAGACAGAGCTTTAGACAGAGCAGTGCCTACAGTTTCACAGCTTCACAGCCCCAGGGAATGTTTATGACGATGCAAAGAATCGATTGTTTGTGAGAATGTGTTTTCGTCTCACCAGGAGGTCCACCATGTTGGGCTTGTTGTTCCTCAGAGTCTTGACGGCGTGGAACACATCCACAGAGCGCTGGTGCTGGAGCATCTCACACACAATACTGATGGCACAGAAGGTCCCACTGCGACCACCGCCGTTTCTGTACAACAACAACAACAACACATAGGATTTAAGTTCAGACTATTACTGTATTTTTTAAACTATAAGTCACACTTTTTTTCATGGTTTGGGTGGTCCTGCGACTTACATTCTGGTGCTACTTATATATTAAAATGTTCACACTGACAGCCTTGAAAGGGCACAGATACAACTTTCCTGGAAGTCATTGGATGGATCGACAAAGCCTGGACTTCAGTGACAACTGAAACCATCCTGTCGGGATTCAGAAGGGCCTGAATAATTCTAACTGGAACTGATGCTGAGTCTGACGACAGCTACACAGAAGAGGAAACGACGCTCCGTTTACCTCCAGAGGTCGTGGAGTTGCTCAGAAGTGTCACCGAGGATGAAGAATTCAATGGATTTAGTGATTTGGAGTGAGATGGAGAGTTTGGTAAACTTGTTCTGTTCTGTTGTTTATGTTATATTTATCTGAAGAACTGTTCATATGTGACGTTAACAGTCTGTTGTTCTCTGTTCTATTGTTATTACTAGAACTTGTCTTCCAAAATGAACATCAGTTCCTGGTCTCTGATTTTATAAAATATATTTCCCCCAAAAAGTGCAACTTATGTTTTTTTCCTCTTCATTACACATTTTTTAGCTGGTACGACTTATACTCCAGAGTGACTTACAGTCTGAAAAATAACTTCAAACTCAATTTCAATACTCAGCAATAGACTAAAAAATATGATGCTACAATAATTAAAAACTTTTTCTTTAGGCAAAAACATGTTAATATTTAATTACATTAAATCATAGTAATTTCTTTTCTATTCCCTGTGGTCTTACATCTGTGTAATCCCTCAGTGGCTCATGGGCGTATACGAGTCTATGTGCTCTTATATTTGTTCTGATACAGCTCAAAATCATCAAACTATTCAGATTTGGTCCTGGTTTGGCTCAGTTGTCTTTAAAATGTAGAAAGTTTATACTGTATCACTTAAAAATTGGATTAGATTTATGACTCATCCATTTTTTCATCAAATAACTGAACATAACTAAGTAACTTTTACTTAAATTACATTTTAAATTAAATACTTTTTAAACTTTTACTCAAGTAGATTTTTAGATGGTTATGTTTGCTTGAGTAGAAATTAAGCAAATAAAGATAATATTACTTAAGTACAATTATACAGTACTTTTTCCACCTCTGATAATAACTGAGCATTTAAGTTTAAGATTTAAACAATGAAGAGCACATAATATGACGTGGTTATTCACATGTCAGTTTCAGTCAAATAAAACTATTTCAAAACCCCTCGGTCCAACAGTCTGACGTGTACAGGGTGCAGTTATGGCGAGTGTCCAGTAGATGGAGCCGGTGCAGCACTCACAGGCAGTGGACCACGGTGCGTCCCTCTCCTCCGTCGTACTCGTCCTGCCACTTGTCCACCTGCCGGATGAGTTTGAGGAAAGAGCGTTTGGACATGGGCGTGTCCCTGTACATGGGCCACCCCAAGAACTGGAACTGCTGCACCATCCTGTACCCGTCCTGAGGCTGAGACAGAGAGGGGGGGGCAAGAGGCAGGGGGTAAGAGACAGGGAGGGGTGAGAGACAGGCAGGGGCAGGGGGTAAGATTAAGAGTAAGAGTAAGAGATGGGGGTAAGAAAGAGGGGTATAAGATAGGGCCAGAGACAGGGGTAAGAGACAGGCAGTGACGAGGGACGGGGCAAGAGACAGGGGCAAGAGATGGGGGAAGAGACAGGGGGTATAAGACAAGGCCAGAGACAGGGGTAAGGAGAGACAGGGCCAAGAGGCAAGGGTGAGCGACAGGGGTAAGAGACAGGGTCCAGAGACAGGCAGGGGTAAGAGACAGGAGCAAGAGACAGGCAGGGGTGAGAGACAGGGGCAAGAGACAGGCAGGGGTGAGAGACAGGGGCAAGAGAGAGGGATAAGAAACAGGGAGGGGTAAGAGCCAGGCAGGGAACAGGGGAGAGAGACAGGGGTAAGAAAGAGGCAGGGGCAAGAGACACGGGCAAGAGATAGGGGCAAAAGACAGGCAGGGGCGAGAGACAGGGGTAAGAAACAGGGAGGGGTGAGACAGACAGGGGCAAGAGTAAAAGACAGGGGTAAGAGACAGGCAAAGGCAGGGGTGAGAGACAGGGTTAAAAACAGGGAGGGGTGAGAGACGGGGGTAAGAGACAGACAGCGGCAAGGGTGAGAGACGGGGGCAAGAAACAGAGGGGAGAGAGGGGGTAAGAGATGAGGTAAGAACAGAAACATAAGAGAGACGGGTAAGTCAAAGTTCATATTTTAACACTTTAATTTAAAGTTTTTCTTGATTTCATTTTCACTTTTGACCTTGCAGATTCTCACTGAAAAAAACACATGCAAAATATAGTAAAGAAAAAAGTGAAATAACTCAAAATATGTTTTATATTTTAGTCTAAAATATCCTCCCTTTGTGCTTTGTAAACTCATGACATTTTACTAAAGAAACCCTGACATGACAAAGCTGTGAAGTAAAAACCATTTCAGGAAACTTCATCATAATGTCCACTGAGAGAAGCCCAAGAGAGAAGACTTTGAGGAATCTAAAATATAACACGTATTTACAGATTTTCCTTTATTCCAGACAGTGGTGGTAAAATATGAAATCTCCTTGAAAAATAACTGGCGAACTCAAGCGTCACTTTGTGTATTCAGTCAAACCAAACTGGGAGAAACTGAATTTTAAGAGGGGATTTTTAATATTTAACATCAACATCTGTCGACGAAATAATTGTCCCCGTTACTGCGCTAATCCACACGAGTGTCTGGTTTCGCTGTTTTAATACCCCATTGTGAAATGTTACTGAAGTTTTACTGAAATTACTCAAGTTTGTTTTAGTGACTTTGCGGTAATAGTACAACTGGTGACAGCAGTAATTCGGGTTGTACTGTCGTTAACGTTTTTGAGTTTATATCCTCAGGTCTGAAACAAGTTTGAGTCATTAAAATAAGATTAAAGGGAATGTAGAGATGTTTTCAGTAAAGTTTCTATCTAGATTCTTGTGAGCTTTTGTGGGTTAAAATGCAAAAAACAGACCTGGAGTTGTGTTTTGTTTCATTCATATGTTTGAGTAACTCTTTATTATTAGTCTGTCTACACCTCCAAAGCTCGAATGTCATGTAGCGGTAGTTTTCAAGGTACACTACAGGTCAAAAGTTTTAAAACACTCTAATTTTACCAGTTATTTATTGCAATTCAAGTCGTGCAAGTCCAATAAAGAGCTTGAAATGGTACAAAGGTAAGAACTGAACAGCCAGAGGTTAAAGAAAGATAAAATATAACAAAACACAAGTCCAAGCTCTGCCAAAACTACCTCAGGAAAAAAGGAACAAGATGGTAAAGCTTGAAAACATGGAGTGTCCAGCACAGTGTCCAGACTTAAACCCTATCGAGTTGGTTTGGGATGAACTGGACAGAAGAGTGAAAACCAAGAAATCTACAAGTGCCACACATTTATGAGAACTTCTGCAACAGACTTGGGAAGAACTTTCTGAAGAATATTTGATTTCTATTGTAAAAAAAACGAGCCACGAGTGTGTTCAGCTGTTATATCTGCCAAAGGTGGACACTTTCATGAATCAAAAGTTTAGAATATGTTTTGGTCAACAGGAAACAGTAAAAAAGTGTGGTGTTCTAAAACTTTTGACCGGTAGTGTATATTTTACTTTGGCAAGTCCAGGTCTGAAATAATCCAAATGAGTCTAGTGAACATTTAAAAACATAGTGGAGCACTTCCTGTCATTTCAGAATATAATCTACAGGGTTTGTGTGTTAAACATGTGTGAATGAAACAAAACACAACTCCAGGTCTGTTTGTGATGAGGAAACAACATTATAACATAGATCAGAAAATAGAGTAATATGGGCCCTTGAAATAAAGTTATATTGTAATAGCAGCTCTTAAAGACGCACTGTGTAACTTTTCACCGAGCGGTCGCCACCTGCTTGTTTCTATGTCATTGCTCTGCTTAAAATGTTCCACGGTACGACATTAAAACAGCTCTACCTTACATTTATTCAATTACCGGTGGTTTTATAGCTCAAAAAATACCTACAAACACAGGCATTCTGACTGTGAGCGGGGTCGCCTCTCCACAGATCTGACCTGTAACTTGGTCTGGTTTGGTCTCCATGGAGATACAAACGTTTAACACCGTACTGTGAAACATTCCAGACAAAGCAACAACATCTCCACAGGAAAAAGCGTTTGACAGGCCGTTACGCAACGCACCTTTCCATCATCTGCAAACTAACAAAGTAACAATGGTGCGCTGTTTGCATGCTAGTATTGCTTTATTAGTAATCGTTCTATTATATTCGCCTACATGTTGACCTATAGATTGTTGTGATGGCTTCTGAAACCTGGTCGTCTTTTGTAATGTACTAAAAAACCGGCAGGTGAAGCAGTTGTTAGCGGCAATCACCCTGCACCTGCACCTGCACCTGCCGAGCTCAGGCTTGTTAAGATATTTCTCCACTTCCCCCGTCGCTCTGTTCGTTCGAGGTGTTGATTGGAGGGGCAGTGGAGTTTTCGGTCTTTTTATAAGTCAAAGTGAGATCATGTTCTGGCTTTCGGTGCAGGAGTGTTTCTGTGAAGTGACATGTTTGGTCAAGAAAGAGGCCAGCGGTTCGAAAACAAAGATAAAAGTGAAAGGTTGAATTAAATGGACAAATCGAGAGGAGGATATAGTAAAACATCAAGTAAAGTGAAATCCGAAATAGTAGTGGTAGTAGTAGTAGTAGTAGTAGTAGTAGTAGTAGTAGTAGTAGTAGTAGTAGTAGTAGTAGTAGTAGT